CACAAAAAATAGGACTCCTTCACGCCCCGCCTGCCAAGAAATATATCAAAACTTTGTCTTCTCCTCGCTCGCTTGCTCTCTCTCTCTCGTTCTTTTCCTCTGAAATTCTTGTCGCTGACTCGCTGATTCGCTCACATCTCACCTTCTCTCGCCCGTCCTCTCCGTCTAAAAAAGTCCATCACCTTTCTGGCCGCGCCGCTGCTGCCAGATGTGTGGCTATTACCTCCGTACCCTCCCTGGTCCTGTCCACCATCGGCCTCGTACGCTTCCGTAAACTTGCGGTTGTTCTTTTGCAGGACGCCTCTTCCACCCTTGCCGGCCTGTCGGTCAGAATCGTAATCGTTATACCCTTGGTTCTGGTTATATCTTGCGTTCTGCGCCGCCTGGCGTGTCTGGCTCTTGGCCAGGTTTGGATAGCTCGAGTGCGCTGGTTCCGTGGGTGGCGGGGTATCTATGGTCTTCGGGCGGTATGTTGGGCGAGGCCCGAAGTCAGATTGCCCGTCGTATGCTGTGGATGGAGGAGGCTGCTGCGTTGCTGATGCGTAACGTTGGTGTATTGGGGTCGCAATCGGTGGCGCCTTTGCAGCCTGTTGAGACCCATCGCGGCTTCGGGTGTATGTAGGAGCAACTGGGTTGGTCTGAGGTCTGCTTTGGGGCTTCTCAACCGGCGGTGCTGGTTCGCCATACGCAGCGGAACGATCGACTCCATCATCGTAATAGCGACCATCTTCAGATGGGGTTGCAGAGTCGGAGTCCTTCCCAATACCAATAGATTTCAACGAAAAGTTTGCTGGAAGGAGCGAGAATCGTCTCGTTGATTTCTTCTGGTCAGAATCACCGCCCGTGGATCCAGTAACACTGCCACTCCTCTTCTTGCCAAACCCGAAGGAAATAGAACGGCGGCTGGAATCAACCGACTGCCTGCTGACCTCGCCACCAGCCGCAGCTGGACCAGGGTAGCTCACTGGCGGATAGGACTTCTTCGGCTTCTCGGCGTTTGTCTTGCCACCAAATATCGAGCCATGGCGTCCGAATATGCTACCAATAGTGCTCGAGCGCTTGTG